TAAATGATTTGATAAATATGACCAAAATAATGTATTATCTGGTATTTGTGTATCATAATGATGATAATGATGATTACGTTGACAACAATTTGAAATAAGAAGAAATGCTTGACGAAATAATTTAATAGATTGTTGTTCAAGAGATATAATAATTTTTTCATCAGTTTTAAGATGATTTAATTTAGATAAAAGTATACGATAATGAGAAAGTGAATAACATGAACATGAACCAATAGATGTTAAATAGAATAGACAATCCTAAATTAAAAAAGACAATAAGATAGTAAATTTAAATTAAAATAAGTATTAAAATGTATGTTTCTATGTTTGTCTTGCACGCAAAATGAAACGATAGTAAATTAGATGATGTTTCAAATATTTGCAGTTTAATTAACTGACTTTTTTTCTTCAGATTATAGATGTCATTAATAAGGTTTTTTTATTTTTTATTTATAATGACAACCTTTATGATCATCCTTGATTGAATCTATAAAAATTCAGGCTTGTTTTTTCTCTTCCTTAGATTTCTAAAACAAAATATTAAGCAATGATCCTTGCTGAATAGTTTCAGTTGAGCACTAAAATTATCTTTATTTTTCATTATCGTTTGATAAACATGTATTTTGGTGCGCTACAAAGCCTCATCGTATCAAATCTAGCTTTCCTAAGAGATACGAATTTGTTATACTATTTCAAAATAATCACTGGACTTAACATATTAGCCATATTATGTTAAATTAAGTATTAATTAAATGATACCCAAGGATTAAGACTATTAGCAGCTGACAAAAACACAAAAAATTGAATCTGCTTAGCAATAAAGACACCTCAGATTGATATATAAAAATCGAAAACAAAAGAAATCCGATTAAAATCTTCGTAGATGATAATGAAATTTATTTTTCATCGCATAACAATTGATTCGAGCTTACTTGAATAAAAGAAAATAATGGTTGACTAGATTCTAATTGTTTAATAGATAATCTTAATAATTTATCATAAATAGCACTAATAACACAAATACGTTTTGTTTGATTATTATCATCATTATCATTTTTAATTTCAATATTACCATCAAAATTATTTTTATTATTGATTGTTATTTCAAATGAATTTTGATGATGATGTGATATATATGCTTGTTCATAACTATTTTCCCAATATGTTTGTATAATACGACGATTTTTTTTACGTTGTAATGTTTCTGAACGATAAATTTTTAAACGTTTTAATATAATTGAACAATGTTCAAGTAATTCTTTAGCATTAGATTCATTTTGTTGATCTATATGTAATAAATTAAATAATGAAAAATAATCACTTATTAAAAATTGATTGATTAAATTTAATAAATCATTTATTGTTCGTCGTTGAACAGAATTTGTTTGTGTTATTTTACAAAGTGTACTTTCAATTAATAAAGCAAAACCTTGTAAAGTATCAAATCCTAATTGAATAAGAAATTGTGATGATGATGCTGATGATGAAAGATAATTATAAATAATTGTTATTATTGAACCAATTGGATTTGATGTAAAACTATTTGTAAACGTTGATGGTTGAAATGAAATAATTTGTCGAAATATAAGAAAAAGTGAACGAATTTTTGTCTGGTAAAACCAAAGAACTTTATATTCAGTTGTTAATTCTGGAAGTAAAAGATGAACAAATGCTTGAGCAATTTCAACATGAACATTATTTATTTCAGATATAGAAACATTTAATGTATGATTATCATGATTAGAAGGAAACTGAAAAAGTCGAACTATTATAGCAAAAATATAATCTAATGTTTCAAATATCTTTGATGTTTTTGTTTTAGAATGATCAATTGGTTGTTGATTAAAATGTGTATTTATTAATGGAATATTACATAAAGCTGAAAGATCAATAGAATATAGTTTTTAATTAAAGAAATAATATCGAGTATACCTTGTTCAGCATCATCATCGGATATATGTGAATAACAAATTGGAATTAATTTAATAAGAAAAAGACCAAAGTCACGACATTGTATAGGATTATATGTTGTCTATTAAAAATAAAATATCAATAGATAATTATTTGAAAAATAATTATTATATAAATATATATATATATTTATATTTACATGATTTTCAATATTGAATAATTGTTTAAGTGAAATAAGTCCATTATTACTTAAATAGTCTATTAAATCGGATTCGTTGTCTGAGATACATATTCTTTGAACATTTTCGAAAAACGATTGAATCAATTGTGACATTATTATTAATTAAGGTGAATAACAATGATTGATATGTAAAAAAAATCGGCATATCTAAAACAAAAGCAAAAAACATGAATATTTCTATTATTTAAAATCGTAACTATTATTAGATTTTAATAACGAAGAAACTTTCTTTTCTTGAATACTAGAAGCCTTTTATACCCTTTCAACTGGGTCAGTTGTGTACGATACCCTTAAACTAAATAAAGAAAGCAACAAAATATCGTCACAATGATCAATAAAATTTCTATTGGTCAATTAACACCGTTTGATCTTTTTTAAAGCAAATCTTTTTTGAAAATGATAGAATATAAATAAAAGATATTCAATTGTTATTTTTTATCTTAAACAATAAAGAAATTTGTATCCAGAAACTAAATAAACAATGTTCATTTACATTGACACTAGCGACAAATGTATGTTCAAAGGCTATTTTAAGTGAAATCATTACGAAAATTTAATTATTTTAAAATGAGAATATATCTGTTTTAAAATGATCAATGTTTAATTATTCAAAGACTAAAAAACTGGAGTAAATAGTATTATTTTATGTTTGAAAACTTACATTTTTTTCCCAGTGTAATAGATAAAATGTTTCTTATATTCTACGCTTTTTATAAAGATTGACAAAGGTACCTATCTCGTCATCAATTTTTATTATCTTGAGACACTTCGAATGAATAGAGTATATGAGTGATGCAAAGAAGAATCTCGAATAAATTGCGTTTTTTTTTTCTTGACGCATTTGATAACATCTCATATAAGTGTCAGGTTTGTAGTAAATATATATATATGTCATCATAGGTCAAAAACAAGGAACTGATTATCAAATTTTTTCAAAAGTCAGCAAACTTAGTTTAAATTACTTATCTAAACAATTTTTGAGAATAATCAAACAAAATACAACATTAATTTGAAATTATTGTTTATTTTCGGTTATACAAAGATGTTTCCCTTTCTTGTAAAATCATTTGATCTTTTTACTATTGAAATAATATATAGAATATAAATCCATGAACCACTCTTCGAAATATAGCAGATTCCTCTAGAGGAAACGGTATAAAATATGTATTAGAAGTCCCAAGGCTGCTATTGTGTTCAGACAATTCCAGTTTTTCGAGCAAAGCGTCGCAGATACTATTAATTTTAGTTCTGACCAGGCGATGTCAAATAATCATGATTAAGAATAATCTCTAGAAATCATTTTCACTTTTCGTCAATGTCTGATATCATGGTCACAATGTACTCTGTAACCACCACTTTGTCTCGGAACAAGTATTTGAGCATCATCGCAGTTTAATAAATTCATATTTCTTCTATTCGGTAACATCCACATCTAAGCCGTATTAGTAGTTCTTCTAAAATTTTTGAATACTTACACATGTCAAATGCACCCGGGAGCTTCTATTGCAATGAAGGGTTTGGTTTATTTTTGTGAGTCTCATTTGAAAAATACTGAATATAATGCAAATTATACGAAGTCAACTTATAGAACTAATCGAACTGATAAATTACTCATTCTTATGTAATTTTAATCATCGTTGTAAAAATTTTAATTTTTATTCTTCAGCTAGTAAATATTAAATTCTCGGCAGCAAACCATCTTTCCAATGCGAACTGCTGAGTTGTTTATCAATTGTGAATAAACTAACATTATTTTTAAAAATAAATAAATTTAATTCATGGAGGAATTTTTATATAAACCTTTGACTCTTGGCGACCTATAAATTTGTCTGAATGCAGTTATTAAATAAAAGTATCGCTAGCATATTCATTAATTATATTTGGAAAAGCTTTTTATCGTTTTCACAATGACTTCTTCAAGAAGATGTTTGACTGAGCCATCATCAAAAAAGTCTCAAAAGAAAATGCGTAGCTTACACATCTCATAATATTCGACGCGATACATGATATATGTGTCAGGCCTACAATGTACTTCTATGTATTGTTGATTGCTTTAAAGAATATCATACAAAAATAAACTACTAACATTTTCTTGACACAGAATTGTAAAAATAAAAATCATACTTAAATATTTCTTATTAAAAATTTCGATCTCTGCAAAAGCCGAGAGTCAATGGGTTAATACCTAATTGAATAAAAACAAGGAGCAAGCACCTATGATATTCACAGATTGGCACAGTTGAGTTATAGATAGACATGAACGAGACTAGTCGTTTTTTGTCTTGAGTTCCGTCGGAACCAGGAGTGAGACCATCTTGCCCATATTTAGTTACACATCCACAAATTTTATTATTGAATATATATCATTCAAACTAAAAATATATCTTCTCTGACAAACAGATAAAACAATAATATTTCATAAATTATATTTTTTATCATGAATTTTTGACATAGACTTGAATTATTCTATTGAACAAAAAACAGGATAATTTATTCATATAGTAATTCATATAATATTCAGTGGATACTAAAATTGTTCAACAAGGTTTACTTTTATCTTTTTTTTTGATGCCATCAGTCCTAGTAAATAGTAATTCGAATAAAGGAAATAAGTTTCAATATGAATATAAAGAATTAAAAATTCTTATCAAATTTCCAAAGACAAACTTGTCAGAAAATCAAAAGGATAGCTTTTTTAGTACTTAGTAGAGTGTAAATATAATTTTATTTAGGCTACATACAACGATAGAGCAAACAAACTATTATCTACAAAATAAGAGATGTTTGAGTTTTCTGCGTCATTCTTTAGCTGAGATACAGTAAACTTACGGAAGTCTCTAAGGTCATTTTTTTCCAATTTCCTATAGAAAAATCCTGTTTTTTGCACCTTCAATCAAATTATTGTATCTCGACCAGAAAACATCATAGAGTACCCAGAGACCTTTTATTTTGTAGAGAATTGTTTACTCTATCATTCTATGTAATCTACATAAAATTATATTCAGACGCTTTAGATGTTGAAAAATCAGGACTTTGGTTTTCTGGAATCTATATCTTTGCGAATCTGATAATAATTTCTATTTCGTTATAGTCTTGTTGGACACCATTTTCTTTATTTAAATCACTATTTAGATTCTTTTTAGTGTTTATGGCAGTGGTAAAACATTGAAAATAAACTTTGTTGAATAATGTTAGTATTCACTCGATATGATAATTCTATCATTTTCTAACAATGAAATATTGGATACATGAATCATTATTAATTTAGAATAAGTTCTTTTTATTATATCTTCATTCTCTGCCAATAACTAGACAAAACAAAAATAAAACTGAAGCAAAAAAAACATAACAAATACAAAAAAGAAAAAAATATTCTTTTTTATTTACATCAGTATTTGTTCGTTTTGTAAAGAATCAGAATTAAGACTGTCGACATCATTATCAATATCTTGTTTAATTGATAATTTTTGTTGTTCATCAATGAGACAACCATCTGAATGACTTGTTATTATTGTTGTCGACATTTTTCGTTTTTTATTATTTAATATTTTTTTATTTTGATTTTTCGTATTATTTAAAAATGTTTTCAATATTATTTGTTGATTAGATTTTAATGGTTGACTTTTTTCTTCAGTATTAGAAGAAATTGTTGCTGATTGACTCTCATCATTTACAATGTCTTTATTATTATTATTATGATGATTTAAAATAAAACTTGTTTTTGCTGGTATTTGTGTAGCAAATTTCAAACTATTAACTTGTGCTCTTAATTGTTTTGCTAAACGCATATTTTTTTCAGGATGTAATAATATAATATAGACTTTTGGTGAAAATAGACAAGCTAATGCTACTGTAGCACATAATGATATAGTGACACATAATGTTGCAATATATACCTTAATAAAATAAATGAAAAACAAAAAAAAAATTAAATTTTTACTTTTTCAATATAAACACATTACGTGATGACGACCTGTCTCATGTGCTGTAAAATAAATTGGAAGAAATGCTAACCTATAATAAATCAAAAAAAGTCGAAAAATCATATTGTAATTCTTTTTATTTTATTTACCAAAGTATACATGTTGTATAACAAGTAAAACCAATAAATTTTGTTTCATTAAAATTTTCTGGTACTTTTCGTGTCCGTACAGCATACATTGTACATATAAGTACAAGTAATACATTATAACTTAATGAAAAAAGAAATGAATATTTATTCATATGACATTTAAGTATAACTAAACGTTCATGTGCTATCATATCAACATATGGACGTTCATATGCAAGCCATAATAATGAAAGAAGTAATTGTACCATAATTAAACATGAACAAATAACTACTTGAGAATGTGGTGATATATATTCTGGACGTAATTTACCTTGTTTTTTTGTACTTTCAAATATTCTTGCAATACGATTTGTTTTTGTTAATAAAGCAGCATACATCATTGAAAAAGCTAAACCAATACCTAAACGTTGAATAACACATGTTATTATATGTGGTCTTATAATAATAGGAAATGTCATTAAATAACATAAATGTATACCAGCAAGCATTATAAAACAAAGTTCTTTTCCACTTGCTTTAACGACTGGTGTTTGCCGTTTTTGATAAAATAATATAACAACATATAATGTTAATATATTACCAATTATTGATAAACTAATTGGTACAAGTGTTAGAACTGATAAAAATTCCATTGATGTTTCTTTTAATTTATAACATGATGTACGATTTTGTGTTGGCCAATAACCGGTAGGACATGGTTCACAACGTTCTTGATCTTCGAAATCAATTACAATTGATGTTTCATTACATGGTGTACATACCCAACAACAAGAATCACCTTGAAATTGATGAAATTCACCAACTCGGCATGGTTCCGAACAACGAGATGTAGGTATTGTTCTTGATGATGATGATAATGAAATATCATTTGTATTTGTACCTGGCCATACAATTGAATCAATAGCAAGATTAAGTTTACCATTTTGATTTCGATCTATTTTCCATTCACCAACAGAAACATATTCATATGGAGATGTAATTGTATCAGATAATGATGATATTTCATTTGATCGACGATAAT